CCAAGTCCAGCCCTCTGGCTCCGCCCCTTTGGCGCCTCCAAACGCCAGCGTCTCTGGGGCTCGCGGTCCTAGGCCCCCTCCCTTCTTGCCCAAATCTTCTGGAAACCTCATCCCAGCATCAGATTCCCATGTTTCCAAACCTCTCCTGAGAACCCCGGCGCCCCCAAAGTTGGTCTCCCCAAACGTCCTCGCGCTGCGCCTCCCCTGCCACCCGGTGCAAGCCGACCGCCCGGCGTCCTCCAGCACCAGCGCAGCGCAGACGCAGCCGTCGAGGTACCGGCGGGACACAGGAGGCCGGAGTAGGCGGATGGAGGCGCGCGGGAGCCGCCCAAGTCCCCGGGAAGTGCGGGTCCTGGTCCGTAGAAGGTGGACTTGGACTGGGTAAAATCTGGGTCCGGAGGGCCGACCTCCAGAAGTGTGCCCGGCGTGGCCTTCCGTGGGGGAGCGGGGGCGAGCAGAGCGCACCAAGTGCTTTTCAACGTCCCAATTTCCGTTCCCGAGGGCCGCCCAGCCTGACAAGCAGAGGACCGGGAGGGAGGGCCAGGTGTGCGCACTGCCAGGCCAGATGAGGATGCCCAGGGCTGGGGAGTGGGCGCCTGAACTCAGCTGCGTTTCCGAGACCAAGCCTCTGCCCTACCTTTGAGTCTGTCCTGGGGATGCATGGAGACCAGTGGACCCCTGTTTAGAGCTATTAAAGGGACAAGCCCCCAGCAGGGACATGACAGGTAGGAAGGTGACAGGCAGGGCCAAGATTTGGGAGCCGTGTCCAGTACCAAAGAGGCGAATTTCGGGAGGTCACAGCAGCTGAGCAGGTCCAGAAGCCAAGCATCCATTCTCAGACTGGCCTTGGAGTAAACGGGGGACCGTTGGCGGCTTGTCACCGCGCCCCCGTGTGGTAGCGAGCAGCATTCGCAGGTGCGCTGGCCGGACCTCAGATGACCCTGCTTGGGGGCAGAGGAAGGTCAGCCAATCCCGCTTGGCCTAGATTTGGGAGGGATGTGGAGGGAGAATGAAGCTTCGAGGGGAGTGTAGATTTTGTGCATGCTCCCAGGTGAGTGGTGGTGGCTCGGCAGAAAAAGAAAGGAGTGGGGTGCGATGTTGCACACAGGAAGATCAGAAGTTCTCAACCTTCAGCGACATAGTGAGTTCAAGACCAGCCTGAGCAACTTAACAAGAGCCTATCTTAAAACAAAAATAGGTAGACAGATAGATGATAGGTAGATGATAGACAGACAGACAGATAGTGTTAAGGGTATAGCTCGCAGCAGAGTGCTTGCCAATACCTAATACAAGGTCCTGACTGGCTCATACCACCACTGTTTCTGTCCACTGAACAGCCCCTGTTCCTGGCTGGAGAGTGTTAGTAACCTCGTTATCCCAGACCCCACATCCACTCTGTCCTACAGCCTCAATCCCCATCTGATGTGCCTAGTCCTCCTGTAATCAGTTGTGGGACACAAGCAGCTCATCAAGGCCCTGGTCCCAGGACTGACTGACCACTCTTACTTTGGACTGGTGGTCAATGACCAGCAGAGGACACTGCCTGTTTACACCTTCCCTGGGAAAGTCTACACTAACACTATTCAGTATAGTAGCCACAGGCCACATGAGTCTGTTCACTATTCGAAAGATGGATAGCCCAACATATATATATATATATATATATATATATATATATATATATATTC